AAAAMAAAAACTGTTGGTCCKGATGAAACACAACTACTTTTGCAAAGTTTGGTAAAGAATACCCAACTAATGACAAACATTTACAATACATTAAGAGACCTACTTCAGGTATTGATATCCGAGTGGCTCTTTTATCCGACTTCAGTGCAAGATTTTAGAAAAAATAGTTTTGAATTTCGAAATAATTACTTAGGTAATGTATTTTGACTCTAGATTGAAAAAAGAGTTTGGTGATCCAGGGGAAGTATCTAGAATTCGTCGTTTGAAATTGGCTCCATTTAGTCTCCATTACTATGTTTGATGAATCCAATAAGTGAAATTTGGTTTATCAAAACAGTGTAACCATAGTCCCGGTCGTGAAATCTCCCCTACAACGTTTTTTGAAATAGCTGTATATCGACGCCATAGAAATCTGTTGTTTTAAATGCAAAAGAATCACGAAGAAATGAAAAAAAAAAACATTTCCTCGACTGATAACTCAGGTCTAAAGGAATCTTCTGCAACGGGTTAGATTGCGATCTTTGCAAGTTTTTAAATTAATTTGACTTTGAAAGGGGGAGGGGTCATGGCCACCCTGTGACCATACCTCTAACTACTCCTCTGTAGCCTGTAAGGCATTCTTCGGGTGAAATAGAAATGCATATTACTCACCCTGTCCAAAGATTCTTTATCTGCAGTATAGCCTGATACAAGCTTAACATCAATGACTGCCATTCCTGATTTATCTTCCTCCAGCCACCTGAACATGAATCAAGAAATGAGACACAGGTTTTTATCATGTTATCATGCGTGAAACACTTATTATTTTCTTTACTGTCAGTGTTTTCATTCAAAACTCGAAGATTACGTACATCCACGCACCTATGTAATGTCCAGAATTTATAATTAAGAAATAAACGATAGCTTGATATACTGGCAAAATAAACCATGCGAGAGATAGTTGGGAGAAAACGAGAAAAGATCAGTAAATCTGTAGATTTACCTTTTAGAGTGTTCTCTCCACCATCCCAAGCGGTTTATTTCGCCAGTAAACCGCTTCAAGCTATCGTTTATTGGTTTTATATTATAGCCGGCGTCCACCATTTAAACTAAAAAGTCTTTCAAGACAGGCGGCTGTTTTACCGGCAAAATAAACCATAGCTTTTCTCATGAAATTCGCCGATCAGTGCGCTTGTTAGAATTGAGATTAAGGAATAAAAGACGAAATTCCGTTTTTGATACTCTGATCAAAACACGCGGGATGTAGGGAGAGCACAAGAGAAGCGTAGGAAACCACGACGCGTAGCGGAGTGGTTTCCAGCTTTTCGAGTGCTCTCCCTACATCCCAAGTGTTTTGATCAGAGTATCAAACACGGAATTTCGTCTTTTATTTCTTTTCTAAAATTAAAAGAATTCTGACTTTGTGTTTTTTTAAGAATTTTGTCTATGTGGCTGTCGTCTATCTCTGCAAATCTCAAAGTAGCTTCTGTAGCTTCTAAAACGTTTGATAGCTCTTCTTCTGGGATATCATCCCAGAGGACATCACAAATAGGCATTTCTTCGTTCATTGTTCTTGAAAATGAATGATAACAACAACAAATGCAAACGGCGGGAAAAAAGAAATTTTTGACGCGCGCGAGCGTGTTTTGATACTGTAATCAAACATCCTAAATATTTTAGAATATAGTATAAATTATAGTAAGTAAATTATTTGATAATGAGCATAAGGAAAAGATACGTTATTTCTTATTAATCACCTTTAGAATCTAACATATGGGGTAATTGAATTAACCGTCTGATGCCAGCCCAGTTTTCTCGATTTAGGGCCGTTTTTGCATTCAAGACATTAAAAAAACATTTAAGCTCCATCATGAAAGGAGCTGTCAATCAAATGATCATGGATTCACATTCCTTAGGGAACCTGCTTTTATGTAACGCCTGGCTAATTTGAGACTGCTCGCTGTCTTTTTCGATGGAAAAGGTTTATTGGTGACTACATTTCCTATTCTATGATTGAGAGTCTGCTAGTTATTTCTGTCTTTTGAGCAGTGTTTGAAGTCAAATCTCACGATTTATGAAACTTGGAATTTTTCAAAGCTTGGCTCGTATTCGAACCATAATGCTAAAGTGCTGGCATCAGAGGGTTAAATCAAAAAGTCTATTAGCACATAACAAGTAATTCTCTTCTTTGCTGTCACYCACTTAGTGCATACTCTCAGCTCCAGTGGTTGGCATAACTGTTCTCCTGCCTCTGATGTCACAACAGAAGAACGCAGTCCTTTTCGTGGGTACACGCTGACCGACAGGGCAAACGCTGGGGGCTCAGAGACTTCTGGGATGTTATACGAAACATCAGTCTGAAAAATAAATGCATCAGGTTATAATAATAATAATCTTTATTTCTCTTAAACCTATAATTATTAAAAGCTATTTACAAGTAAATATAACCTTAAGACAATATAAAATGTATTAAAACTAGAAATATGATTATAGAATAAGCAAATAAAAATATGAAAATAAAGCAAATCTAAAAAAGGTGTAAAATTGGTCTCTTAATATTGTCTATTTCAATGTCATTATAATAAAAGTTCCATTGCGTCTTTGCGTRTCGTGTTCCTCTAATGCAAATCAATGCAGATCTCAGTGAGGCATAAGACACTAGTGTGCGGATTAATGAAATCCATGCATCAGGTTATACAAGCAATTGCCTTGTATTTTTTGAATAAATATTTTACTAAAGTTTTTAATATGATCAAATGATACGGGGGTTGCAACTTTTTTTTAGCTAACAATTAAGCTATGTATGGTATTCGTGTGTAATTTTGTAGGATTTTGTGTCACCCTTACAAATGGTCCAGAAATTTCTTGACTAGAAACGTTGAATGAAGTTTAGTCAGGTAAGTCGTCTTTTGATTTGCCTTTCTTTGTATTAGAAAAACAACCGCCAAAGTCTCGTGCATTCGACCACCGCAGCTTCTGCAGYTACAATAACTGATTGAAAGCTGTCAATCTTACCTGCAGCAAAGCACATCCTTGTCCTACAGCATCGACAGGGATTCTTTTAGAATGGAGGATCTTTTCTGGAATCTGGTTCAGAACGGAGAACATAAAATCACTTTATAATTAAAAAAACTGTTTTGGTGTTAATTATGTTGGCAATGGCATTTGGCAAGAGAATAAGCGAATAGTCTGTCAAATAAAACCCTTGCCGATTTGCGAATTTCGCCTCAGTAGTCAACCACCAATAATCAAGTCGAGACGTCGTGCCGTGCATAAAGCTCAGTAATTCGTGAAAAGGTACTGTCTTTTGAAGATTAACTGAGTTTAATGAACGGCGCCTCGTCTTGATTCTTCGTGTGTGGCAAAAGTCGGGTGTTCTACGAAGTTCGTCCGGTATCCCTGTGCTTTTTAGTATWGGGATTTCTTTCCCAAACCTTGGTCATATATAGAAGCAAGAAAGATGGGCGGTAGTGGAGAAATCTCTCCATAGCTCTCTTTATAATGTAGAGCTTTAAAAACCGAGAAAATCGCCAAAAATGTAGCTKTTCATACTCGAGATTGATAACTATCAAATGAGTGATTTTAATAATGATGACGAAGGAATGTAATCTAGTAGTGATAATGATACCTCGACACGTTGTAGTACAAGTCGATTACTATCCTCGATACGGAACTCATGGTGGAAGGGATCACGTGTGTAGCCAACATTGATCCTCATTCGTGTTACGCCACTTTTATAGATGAACCTGGCATATTTGGACAGACCTTGAAGAGCAATACACGTGTCCTGAAATGCAGACAACTAAGTCAAATATCAGGTATTATTATATACATACTGAGATTTTCTCACATATATTTCTATTTGAAAATCCGTTCCAAAAATATTAACTAGCCAATCATAGGAGCGAAACGAATTTTTCACACGTGCGAAAAGCGTTTCGTCCAATCAGGAAAGACTTGTGAAAACGTACCACGGAATTCAATCAACAACTTCAATTTATGTAGAGACAAAGTATTTTAGAGAGTGAATTGACAACTAATATCTTCAGGAGAAAAACAAAAATTCAACATCTAAAACGGTGAGTGATGAAAAGCTACTCGATGAATTTCCGCCGAGAGGAAAAAAGGTCTTAAGCAAAGAAATCCAATTCCAAGAGACCGAAAGCAAATAGCTGAACGAATACATCTCTGACATCTCTGCGACTTCAATATGATTGTGAAGCCTAAAGACATTGAAAGTTTCAGAACCAGCAGGTCCTTAAGATATATTTTCAAGTTTTAATCAACATCTAAAAGAATTAATGCAAATATTCCACCAGTATATTCCCCAAGACACAGCGAAAACTCACTCAGTTCCAGCACAATTTCGATGTTTGAAACTGAAACCCGCGCTTGTCAAGTCAACCACCGTCGCCAACATTAGAACTGTTCAAAGAAGCTGTATTTTATATGGCAAATTTCTCAGTATTAGATATAAGTCCTAGATGTACTTCATCTTCAACAGAAGTATAGAAAACAGAACACTATTATATGGATAAAACGCGTCCATAAAAGTTGATTCGCTACGAAGGCGATAGAAAGTAAACACTAGTTTCATTGACATGTTAACGTTTGTAGGCTTGTTGCACTTTCCTCTAATGTAGCTTTCCGTTATTTTTAAACTAAGTTATTGATGTGATTTATTTATAATTATCCAATTCAGCATTTAAATTGTATCGTAGTTTGATCGCAAATAACTTCAAGCGAGTTTGTAAGACAAAACCGTCATTAAAATGCACAAAAGTCGCTCAAGTAGAGCTATAAAATCTCAGTATGTATATAATAAACAAACTTCATCATGGAAAGTGCTTTTGTACGGGATTTTCGCACTCGTTGGTTTTGAATCTAAAATCTCACTCCTTCGCTACGCTCACTCGTTCGATTTTAGATTCATCACCAACTCGTGCGAAAATCCCGTACGTCAGCACTTTCCATGAAGAAATCTATATTTCTTTCACATACTGAGCAAACTGATGATGAAAGCCGACTTGACAAAACAGGGTTGACGTCAATCACAGAAGAAGCCGTTGCTTCGAAGTTCAAAACAAAATCGTTTGTATTTTGGGTTTTCTCCTACTTGGGGGAGGAGCTTGTTACAAATCAACCAATGACTGAACGAGTTTACGAAAAGCTCCACCCCTGGCCTAAGATCGCAGGAAAGAGCAAAATCCAAACAATTTCAAAACAAAGATGTCGAAATGCAACGATTTTTGCTGTAAAATAGCAATTTGATACTTTATGGTTTCTTGTTCATGCAGCCATCCATAATGTTCTTTTCCGTGGATGTTCGTATTCGTTTTGGAACAATTGATACTGAATTGCTCTATTTCATTATAGCATCGCAGCATGTTTACATGCTCAGAAACAGTGGAAATTTGGACCCATTTATAGACGTTGCTCATCTACATTTTATTTGATGTGCAGTTCAATCTGATCCCATCTAGAGACCATAACCCTTAGCGTCAAAACAATAGAATGTTTTGATATGACGTCATAATGAAATAGGGCAATCGGTCCACCGCTTGTCATGGATCGGTCTATAGCTATTGGAAAACACGTTAAACGTTAAAAATATAACGTGAATGGAGCTTAATAATTGAACGTTTTCGACCACGAGAATCAAAAGATAAAAGATCGGTTGCAATGTTGGAAGAATGAACAATAGATACAGTATTGTTAGCCTGCTAGCTTAATAATATCAATTCAGATCCCATTTACATAAGAACCTATTTAGCCTAAAATTTGAAACAGGTTCTTATAGAAAGGTTCTTATAGAAATTAAACTAAAAACATCTTCATGCAAAAAAAAGAGTCAAAAGTAGTGAACTTGAACATGTATACCCTTCTAAATTTGGTATAAATAATGTTTAAAAACCTAGTTGTAAATTTTCATTACATAAKGRRTAAGCMCTGTCTTCTTCAGGGCAGACTGTTTTGGCATYAAATTAATATACATGCCACATTTCTAACTTTCACAGGTGTATAATATATTTCTCATTTAATAACATTACTATTTAAGAACCTCCGTAGCCTAAAATTCCAATAAGCAATATTTGCATACATGGGTTCTTATAAGCGGGTAAGTACTKTACTAATGAGAAATCGTTTGTTGAAGTTCCTTCAAGATGGTCACTGTGACGTAACTTGAAAKCGAAGAMTARGAAATTATCGTATACCTGCGTGGACGAGAATCCCCCTTGKGCATTTCTCTGTTTCGCTATCCAACGGATAATMGGCATTGAATCTGCGATGGCTTTAGAGTCCCTTCCGTCACCTATTATTGCCATGAGTGCATAGGCAGTCATTTCGATGTTTGCTGAGCGAGAGCGGTGATAAGGTGGCTGCCAACCAATTGATGATGCTCGCTGAGACTTTTCTTTCTTCTCCCAGTGCATCAAACCGTCTAAACAAAGTTCATGATTGTCAWATTACTATATGCTGTTTTTAAAAAAACATGCTGTCGCAAAGTATCATGGGTGACTTAGCCATGCCACAACAACARCACTGACATTTGTATCGTTTGACATTAAATCATTGCTTTTGTGAACATAATCTGCCATTTCATTGGATTCTTTCAMAGATYGCGYAGCTTAGTGCGTAGCAACACCAAACACACATAGAAAGAAAGAAAGAAATACAGATTAAGACAGTATGTAAGATTGGTCTGAATCGAATCAAAACGTATATATTATCCATACACGTATATATTATCCGCCATAGTTTGCTGAAGAAGGCTGAAGTGCCGAAACGTCCATTAAACCAGAGTTATTATAGCTTCAAGTTGGTGTTTTGTTCTTTTTCATTCTACTTATTATCCATACACTATGTATTTCTTTTTCAATTCATTAAAATTAAATCAAACTTTTTTTTTGATCAAGTTTGCTGTGATCTTTCGATCAGGATGAGTTTGGTATTGCCAAAATCAAGAGTTAGGGGTTCCCAGACTTTACCGTACAATAAGCTTATTTACCTTTCACAATAGCCTGTGACTTGAGTCTTCGTATGAATTGTGGACGATCAGGATGCTTAGCAAGTGTCAGTGCGTATGCAATGATTGCATTACCGTATGCATCTAGCACGCTGTTTCTTTGGTCGGTGATGCACCTGAGTGCTTTAGCAATGACAACGTTCTGCAAAAACATAATATACATATTCAAGAAACAGAAAATCCTCGACCGACCTACCGTCAAAATAAATCGTATGTATTCACCCCCTTGCGAGAATRTTTTCAGGTTWCAATAGAGTCTTTTAAGTCTTATTTATCGGTAAGCGAATCCCTTAAARCCCCTGTAAAAATAGAGAATCATTACCCAATCCCATTTTGTGAACATATATTATTTAATTATTGTGATTTGACCCGTAATAGATAGCAGAAATTTATAAAAATTGTGTACTACAAATACATATAAACATRTAATATCCAATTAAAACAGTATTTACTGAAAAAGAACAAAAGAGGTGGAGGCATTTTGCAGTGATTATGCAAATTCTTTGTAAACGTTCAAGCCACGATGCTGTAAATTCTACGAAAATCTAGATTTCCTTTATTTTTACGTAGTATAAGAATCATTTTTTTCAAGTGTGTTGGCAACGACAACAATGCTATATTTTGAAAGGTGCAGTTTTTTCTTCTTAGGTTGGAGATTCTGGCGTTTCTAATTTKTTCGTTATATAGCCGTTGTCACGGCAAAACTGGAAGGAGATCTCAACAGCTGAACTTTTCTACTTTATCTCAGTAAGATCCATGTTATTCGTAAATTCTGACAACCTTTTTACAACGTGTGCTATTAGCGTAAAAGGTGAATTACGTACCTTAGGATCAACGTCACTCTCAAGCAGTGATATAACAATATAGGCAGTCAATGTAATTGGAGTTGATACACCTCCCTATGAAATATGACAACAGATATATCAATATAGGTAATAAYATGCTTTTTAGTGATATTTTGGATAAATGCCACGCGTGATATTTCAAAATTGTCAAACAAAATYTCATGAACGAAGAGTATCTATACAATATAGGTATTTCAAGATACGTTATCGCAGAGCACGGCGAATGTACGACCGAAAGTCACTCTGGGTATTGATGATAATTTTCACGCAGCATTCATAACAATTCTGTTTGATTGCAATGTCATATTTTAACTTGGTTATGAAAGCAGAGTAAGGTCAAAAGCATACTATGACACCATTCTAAATAAGCCTCGACAAAGCCGTGTATTACCTTAAGTGCTTTGTKGAATAACTGTCCGTGTTTTTTGAAACAGCCAGTTTCAAGTTGCTTCTCTTTGATCCACTTGAGAGTAGAGTTAATTTCGTCTTCATCGACAAATATGAACGGACGAGCTTGAGAGAACGAGCGGACTACAAATGCAGTCAGCCTGTAAAATACATAGAAACACAGATTAGAATCAAACTTTCCCATTTCGCTCGGTTACAAAAAAGTTTATCATATTCTCAGAAAGAATGCAAGAATCTCTTTTGTTTTCAACACTTCTACGCCCCGACCATAAGACTCAGGGAGATTTTTTTTTATCTTGATGGAAAAATTGTGTCCGTCCACACATACGAATCGCAGACTACCCTCAATATATCTGCGATAAGACCTGGACATCTCACAGCTAATTCAACAGAGCATGTGCAAATCGTGTTGTGATGTCATCCATAAACTTTCGGATACGCGAGTGTTCACACGTATACAACGCATATCTGGAGAAACATTGTGTACGTAAGGCCAGTTTACACTACTGGAAATTTTTGCGGCGATTTTTGTGTCATTTTGATCCTAGAAAATATTGCTAAAGATAAGCTAACTAAACGTCTACTCAGAAGGAAGAAAAAAATCTATCATATTTTTTTAAATGGTGACCGAAAAATTGAAGCAAAAATCGCCAGTGTAAACTAGTCTTTAAATTTYCACTCTGAAGAGCGTTTATACAGAAATCGTAATGTRCAGACACATTGTAGTCACACTAAGGGCATACGGTAAACGGGTATAAAAATATTTGTGGATGCAAAATCTCGAGACATGTGTGGACGGKGCGTCATTCTYGAAAGGTAACAGATAACAAGTGATACCACAGRAACAGACAACAGCAATCGCTGACAGGGATGCGTGGATTGGTAATATATGAGGTCATATCTCGGCGTTTCACAAAGAATCGTTCCAACATTGGTGATAACCTACCATAAACTGCCTTCTTTATCTCTATCACCAAAAGCACTGTAGGAACCGTCTTTGCGTTTGTAAGTTAATTCTCTTTGGTATCCTGTGAAGGCAATGATAGCATTTTTATCATATGATTGACGGTTCACGATTTTGCGCGAATGTCTTCAGACAAATGCTGTCTATACAATCCTATTGGACTACTGTTCATTTKGCACGTGTTTAGGAGTGGTTAAATTAACTCGTTAAATATGCTCTATAAGGGGCCATTCATTTTTTATCGGAAGGGGTAGAGGGGGAGTGGGTGTCGCAAACAAAAACCATGTTAGAGGGGGTGCCATGCAATGTTATTATCCTATATTACTTGTATATTCAATACAACATATTTCTTAAGAATCTAAAGAGTGGGCGTCGTGTCAGTAGGACATGGTCAAGWGCATTCTTTTGTTCTCTACGCAAGTGAGTCTTTTGTGYACTAAAACAGCGGTCGCTCGCATTGAACGGGAAAAAGGCTTATTAGTGCATATAACTCAGAGACGTGCTAATATTTGTCAAAGATTACCTGTTCTGAGGAATCCCTTAGCCTTATCTGCAATACTTCCAGTGAGCTGATTGGTGCTCTTAAGATATTGCATGATATAAATGTTAGGGGCGAACTTGACCATGTTTTGCTCTCCACATCCTGTAGGTAACCTGAGCAGTTCCTCAAGACCTGATAAACTGGGGCCCATCAGATCACCTTGAATGAACAAATCGCTTGGGTTTCAGTAATGTAACCGTTGCATCAATATAAATGTGTAGTGGGTGTTGGTCTCGGTAGGTTAAGCTATCGRCTTATGAGAGACTGTTGTCAATTAAGCAGCGGTTGCTCGTTTTGAACTRGAAAAAGGCGTATTGCACCATTAGGACRCGCGTTTGTTTGACAGGAAACAAGCTTACTCTGAGGATTTTGAAAGACTTTAGTACAAACGATTTGCAAACGTTGTGTAATAGGTTGGACGACTTACAAGAGGTTAAAGCTCGACTTGTTCTATTATTGTGACCTATTTATGTTTGGTTGTTTTATTCAGTGAGTTTTTTTCATGTCAAATATATATGCCTTGGAATAATGACTTTAAAGTGCTACTTGCATGAAAATGGCCTCACTTCAAAACTTCAAGCAATACAAATATATGACTCATTTATATCTATTAAAAACAATTGCGGGAAAATATTTGTTTTGGAATTATCCCACATCAGAGAAATTTTGATTCAAAAGATGGAAGAACAAAAGGATTGAGTAGATGACGTCATCTACTCCAACATTTTTTGCCCAAATTATTAAGGATTTGCATGAATATTGGCTTGAAATCTGTTGCTTCTTGATTATTACACCCATATGGATAGGTGTGTTTGATTCCCAAGTCTTTTCTAATGTTTCGCAATTTTCGTCCAAGTAGCCCTTTAAACATGGTCTTTTATTAGCTTTTTTAGGAGATCATAAAATGTTATGTTGCTTGACTCACCGATAGCAGAGAGTGTTGCATGTACAGAGCCGGGKACGTAGTGCTCAGGAAGAGAAACTTCAATGAAATCATGGAATAATTTCTTTTCTGTTTCTGCAATATAATCAACAATCGTCAATATATAGACATTCATTATCAATCAATCTATCAATCCATCCATCTATTAAAGTGCTTGTGAAACTTAACAAATTGCGCACCGTTTTTCGTTGCATGTCCTCTTATTGACACACTCTAATCAGYCAATCACCGCGAGAGAATTTACACAAGTGTGGTAATTTGTTTCACATTGAATCCACCCTATATTCTGTATTTTACCTTCTGGGCAGATGAAGCTATTGTACGTGTAATCCTGRCGGACACCCTCGGGCTGCGGTAACAAAGAGTTACGTCAACAAATGATTAAATTGCGATGATCTGTTCTATATACGAT